ATTCTATAAATAATTGTAGAGGCATGCTATTTTAGAGGTCCAACACCCTTAGAATTTTTATTTTAATGTTATTACTTTCTCAAGCTCTTCTCCCATATAGCAACCTTGCTATTTCGGTCTATTTTTCCCTCTCGATCCCCTTGTCTCTATCTGTTTCTATCTCTCTTCCTCTCAATCTCTTTCTCTATCTCCTTCTATATCTATATCTTCTTCCCTTTCTATGATCTAAACTATTATTATTTAACTCAGTATTGAAAGTCCTTTTTACTAAGGTAATTTTGAACCTACGAAGGAGGTTTTACGTTCTCTTTTTCCTATAATCGCCTGAAAGTTAAAATCTCAAAGAGACAATCATTAACTAAACACACTTGAACCACATTGGTGGTTCTGGCACGCCCATAACATACAAATTTAGAATCGGCTTTAGCCAGCTGATTTTAGTGTCAACATATAGTGTTAGTGAATGAATTACCAAAATATCCATGGGTCCACATAGATGTGATTGTTTACTTTTATAAGTTCAATACAAGAAGGTTAAATTGGCAATGTTACAAAAAAATTGTACTTCGACTTTTCGACTAGAACATTTATTTTGGAATAACCAAAAATGAAAAGATGGAATTTTTGATTTATTTATTTATTTTTTTGGGACAGAGAGAATATAAATCAAACATATTAATGAGTATTTTTTTATAATGGCGAGAACTTAACGCACAAGCTAAAATAAGGTGCTTACAAGTTACAATAAGGAAATATCAAACCATTATTGAAGTTTTGGACTCACGTATGATTTTTATTTATTTATTTATTTATTATTATTATTATTATTATTTTTTATCTTCCTCTCAATTTCTTATCCCTATTACCAAACAAGTGGAAATCAACCATGTAAGGAGTACTTTTTATAAAGGTGAGAGCTTAGCACATAAGCTAAAGCCAGGCCCCTAAGTTTTTATTTTTTTATTTTTTTATTTTTTTTCCTAGGCTTCCAAATTACAATAAGGAAATATCAAACCATTATTGAGGTTTTGGACTCCTATATGAATTTTTTCTTTTTTCATTTCCGCTCAATTCTTTATCGCAATTACAAAACAAGTATAAATCAAATATATGACGATTGCTTTTTATAAAGGTAATAGCTTAGCAGATAAGCTAAAGCAACGCTCCCAAGTTACAATAAGGAAATATCAAACCATTATTGTGGTTTTGGACTCACATATGATTTTTTACCCTTTCAATTCCGCATCCCTATTACCAAACAAGTATAAACCATTCATATAACGAGTACTTTTTATAAAGGTTAGAGCTTAGCACATAAGCTAAAGCAAGGCTTCCAAGTTACGATAAGAAAATATCGTACAATTATTGAGGTTTTGAACTCACATATGAATTTGTTTCCATTTCCTCTCAATTCGTTATCCCCATTACCAAACCAGTATAAATCAAACATATAACGCGTACTTTTTATAAAGGTAGGAGTTTAGCACGTAAGCTAAAGTAAGACTTATGAGTTACAATAAAGAAATATCAAACCATTATTGACGTTTTGGACTCACCTATCAAATTTTATTCTTTTCCTCTCAATTCCTTATCCCCATTACCAAATAAATACTTCATATAAATCATAATGAGTACTTTAATAAAGGCAAGAGCTAGCACATAAGCTAAGTATGGCTTCCAAGTTACAATAAGGAAATATCAAACCATTATTGAGGTTTTGGACTTACATATCAAATTTTTCTCTTTTCCTCTTTTCCTCTCAATTCTTTATCCCCATTACCAAATAAGTACTGCGTATAAATCAAACATATAACGAGTGCTTTTATAAAGGTAAGAGCTTACAATAAGGAAATATCAAACCATTATTGAGGTTTTGGACTCACATACCAATTTTTTTTTCTTTTCCTCTCAATTCCTTATCCCCATTACCAAATAAGTACTCTGTATAAATCAAACATATATAGGGTACTTTTATAAAGGTAAGAGCTTAGCACATAAACTAAAGTAAGACTTCCAAATTACAATAAAGAAATATCAAACCATTATTGAGGTTTTGGACTCACATGTCAATTTTTTTTTTCTTTTCCTCTTAATTCCTTGTCCCTATTACCAAACATGTATAAATCAAACACATATAGAGTACTTTTTATAAAAGTGAGAGCTTAGCACATAAGCTAAAGGAAGGCTTCGAAGTTACAATAAGGAAATTTCAAATCATTATTGAAGTTTTGGTCTCACCTGGGAAATTGGTAAAAAGGGTCCAATCCATTGCATGTGCCTTTGTTGATTACTAGAAAATAACAACACAAGACTATCTATGCATATGATATATGTGTGAAGACATATCATTCACCAACCAATGTCATGCACAACTCAATTTATAAGATGAGTACAACAGTGACGCCAATCATTATGATGCCTTAATATGCTAGTATGAATGTAGATGTACATCTCTATCTGTAACACCATCTCACCTCTTCCATTTTTATGAATTTGACATATCTGTTATTTAATGTTTTCAAATTTAGTGCCTCTACTTAATCTTTCACCGTTAACAAGTGTATTCTATTCTATTTTTTTTAACCTTGACAAAAATTCAGACTTATATTTTTCCTATGGAATCAAGGTCGGTTTGAGATTTTTAAACTTTTGACAAGTCCTAGGCGAACTTTAAAATGTGAGACCCTTTATATTTAAGATTTCACATGTGCAAATTTTTCATTAAAACGATCTTGGTGTTTTATGAAGAGTACGATCCAGTTTACATCAAAAAATTAAAAGGAAATATTTAACAATACTTTTTCACAAAAATTAAAATTCAACGTCATATCAAAGTAAATCTGATCGTCTTGCATTTTGAGCTGTAAAAATTATCAATTAAAGTACTCCAATCAAGTTTTTCCGATATACATTTGGAGTTGTCAATGTGAATTCGAATGTCTAGGGTTCGTTCGGGGAAGAGAAGAGAAAAGTAAAGTGTGTTGGACTTCGATTCGATTGATAATTGTGTTGTAGCCATTTAAACTTGTTTGTGTCTTTTATTTTTGGATCCTTGTTTTAAATTTGAGACCCTAGGCGACCTCCCTGGCCACCTAGACCCAGAGCCGACCTTGTAGAGTCTTAAACTTTGACCTTCTATTTAAAAGATGAAAAAATATTACTAAATTACAATCCTTGGAATAGCTAATGAGTTGAATGGTTACTACCACCGCATTTTGGATTGTTGAATCATGAATGTTACTCTTTCTAGGCAACTTTAATTGCGCACTTTGATATTAACATAAAGGTAGTTCGTTCCACCCGCTTGATTTAATTTCTTATCAACTTACTAGCATCATGAAAGCATCAAGAAAATGACATAACGGATCATATATATATTTGGGAATCTAATTTGTTATATACGAACAATCGATGACAATCACCTCAAACCATGTGAAATTAATGAGCTTTAATTGTATTAAAAAAAATCAAGTGGAACATGAAAAACCAAGGAAAGGAATAAAAAGTTTTTTAAGTGGATAATTCTTTTTCTTATTTTCTCCTTTTCAACACTATATTTTAGGTCTAAACGCTCACTGTCCCTTGACAATAGAAAACAACAACTAATCATTGGTCGGAGTACTACATTTTTTATTTCTGAGAATACCGAAAATACTCTCTTTATGATTGATCAAATGGAACTTAATTGACAGCTATTTAAGGATGTGATCATTAGATGGTAGTCTCTCACTATAGAAGTGCATAATGTGTGTGCAATGTGCCTGAATTTTTAGAAGTCATGCAAATTTTGTCAATATATGTGTAAATGCAATGAAATTTTATTGGAGTATGAGGATATACAAAAAAAAATTTTATTGGAGTATGAGGATATACAAAAAAAAATTTTATTGGAGTATGAGGATATACAAAAAAAATTGGTCAAATACTTCTAGGTTGCTTTATAGGCATGGCCCAATTCCATGAAGCCCATAAATCATTAGGGTAAATTTGGGCCTTATTCGTTGTACACTTTAAGGCAATAGCCCAATTTGAAAAAATAATTAGGATACTTTACTTGTTATACATCAAGTTGAGACAATTAAAGACTCACAAAATTTTTCCCATGAATTCCATTACTTTACTTGTTATTTTTATTTATTGTTTAATAATATTAATTACCAAATCCAACTAACTGATACATTAATGTGGGTGCATATAAGAGATTTAAGTGAAGTCTCATACATTTTTTTCTTCCCCCCCCAAACGTGTTACGAGACAAATCCCATTTCAACATGTGGTAGGATCCAATACCACTTGTCAAATTTAATTTAGAAAAAATTATGTGAGATTGAGAAATGTGTCAGCTTTGTGTAAGCATTATTCAGTTTTTTGTTTAGGTATTGTTTCTCAATGGATAAAAGATTGTTTCTGAGATTTATAGGCCGGGTAGTGGTAGGATACATGTTCAAGGGAATTGGAGGGAGAGTTGTGCCCCAAGTTATATAAAGCGGGAGCAAGAGCGTGAAAGTGACAAAATTTAAGTTACCCAAAATGTGAACCAGAGCAAGAGCGCGCGTAAAGTGTGAGTAAAAACGCGCACAGAGTATAAGAGCGGCACGCATTTAAAAAATTATGTGACTTTACTTGTGCCTCGTTGATTAACTACTACATATGTTAAAAACTAGTGTATAAAACTGCTCTGTAGTCAATGTTACTTCCAAATATCAACTTTTATGTTTGTGACTATTGAACTAGCACTCTCTACTTTCTAAAGCACTCATTTATGTTAGTTCACTTTTTATGACAATTGAGCTTTAACACACACAGATGTGACCAAGTTTTATGTGTAGTAGGGAAAATTTTCAAATCCCAGAAGCTCAATTTTAATGGATCAATTAAAGGAGATAAACGAAAGTCAATCATCTTAATTGTTTGATCAATAAGAATTGTGAAGGGTAAAAGCAATTGGTGCTGTCTCTATTTTCCTTCTCTTTTTGTATGCATATCTTATCTAACCTCAAAAATCTAAAAAAAAAAAAAAAAAAAAAAAAAAAAAAAAAAAAAAAAAAAAAAAAGAGGAAAGAAAAGAAAAGAAAAGAGAAAGAGGGTATTATTGGTAATATAGAAGAAAAATAGGCCTCCATATGTCAAAGGTGTCTATTGAGAGAAGTTTAGATGGTAAACCTGTGTCATATTTGGGTAATACAAGCCAAAGTTCTGTTCAGTCCCAGGAGGCTTGAGATTTTCATTGAAAATGGCAAACACATAGGTCTCTATACTCTTCCCAGGCCTCTTTGGTGTGCCCAATGATCCTGAAACATGCTCAACAAGGTTATTGTTATACATTTTAGCATTTGGTATTGTTGCAATGCCACCATTTCCATCAGATGGCCATCCACTTTCCGAGATGATAATGTCCAGAGACTCACCCCCTGCCTTCTCTAGCGCGGAATAAACTGCGTCAGTTATGGCATCAAATAGGTTCTTGTACCCGAGCTTCCCATCCTGCACAACCACCTCAGTACTGTTGAATAGTGCATAGAACAATGGGATGTCATTCGGGTTAGAAATGTATGCGAAGTAAGGGTACACATTGACAAGCAAAGGACTCTTCTTTGCTGCTAGGAAAGCTGTGATTGATGTCATTATAGAGTTCACATTCTCTGCGAATTCCCCTTTTGAAGGAGGGTATGAAGTCCCGAGAACTGAAGTTGGAACCGATGTGCTTACTGGGATATTGATCAGATTAGAGGCTGCTAAGGCAGTGTGGAGATTTTTCATAGCTGGTAACACAAAATCTGCCAAGTCACCAGGTATGACTTCGTTGCCAGCTGATATGCACCGGAAATTAATTGTGTCTGAGTATGGTTCTACATTACTTGTGATCCAGCTTAAGGCATATGTAACATCACTGGAAATATTTTTGAGATCCTCATTGAGGGTTCCGAGGATAACTTCAATTCCAGAGCCTTCTAATGCTCTGAGGACAGTGTGATTCGGAGCAAAGAGGCGAATTCTTGTAATGTTTCTTGATTTCAAGAGTGCAACAACTTTGCTTGGTGGTGGGAGGTTGTTCCCTAGCAATCCATAGTTCAATCCAACAAGTCGAGCCTCTACATGACAAAGAAATTGAAATTGGATGATTCAAAAACTATGAGCTAAAAGATATGTATGCTAGTGACAATATAAATTTATAATCACATATGAAGTATATACCTGTAAATATATTAAATTGAAGCACGAGAAGAAAGAAAACGACGATTCTACAGAAAAGCCAACCCATTGAAACAAATTTCTCAACCTTTTTTGCCCTCTGAAGACAGAGTGATCATCTATGGCCTAAAGATCTCAATGTATCACTTGATGTATACAATAATATATATAGAGGAGAGAATTTAGTAAATTAAAACTATAGCTTCCTAGCATTAACGCAACCTTTCGTCTGACGACGATTACTATGAAAATGACTTGGGGAATACCACGTCTGGATTACTCATATGGACACACTTTCATACATATTTTACATATGAAAATTGTTTGTTTGTAGGGTCTCTCAAGGTTTATCTCTTATAGCCAAGAAACATTTTTCTTGATTTCATATGTATTATTGCATTTTCAAAGCCCAAATAATGTGTCAAAGTTCTTTTCAGGTTTGACATTAGGTACCTAGTAGTTCAATATTGTTTGATATTATTGTCCCTTTTGAAATTAAAATTGATAATCTGGTTTGTTCTATACAGTAAGGCATATTCTGTTGATTTTTATTATATTGCTTGTCATTTGTGTATCATTTTAAATGGCAGTTTGTCTTTTAAATATTGACATTAAAATATAGTTAGCAGACATTAATCTTTGGCTCCACAGTTGATAGAAGGGACAAATGCAGGACCAAAGGTTAAGAGATGTGGTTTCTTATTATTGTTTTTGTCCTGTATTCTTAAGTGTATTTCATCTCTGAGTTCTGTTTTTTATTTCAGAAAATTATTCTTATGGTGGGTAAAAATAATTTTGTATATTTAAAGCCCTCTTCATAGTCTCCTAACACTAGATCAAAGCAGTATATACATGTGTGTCATGGAGGAAATTGGTTTTGAGGCATTTGGAACTTTGATGGATTCTTCTTTAATTTTTAGGTCACATGAAACTCTACTAAGTGCCATTTTGGACTGCCTGCCGAGCACGAAAATACTGATCCGAGTCGAAGGACATTGGACAGCCAGCCACATTGTGCACAAATAATGTAAAAAATCTGAATCAGTCCACAAAATGCCTTTGTAAGTGTGTTTTGGTGCATTTAGTAATTTAATCATATATTATTATTTATCAATCTATGTTCTCTGCACAATGAATTGGTTCTAAGTTGCTAATGTATCTGTCTTAAACAACTCCTCCATTCTTATCCTTAGCAAACAAGATTTAGATATGGTTAAGATGGAATATGTCACTTGTAGCATTGCTCCAAGCAAAGCTCATCAAGTTGTCAACAATAATTCATACTTTATACTATGATTCTATATTAGAAGTAGTATTAATTTTATATCATTTTAGCTGGCCGATAAGATTCAATAAGCATAGAAGTTGCCATATTTTCTTCATAAAAATGTTTGGGAAAAGCTTCAAATGACTAAATAGTCCCCCCCCCCCCCCCCCCCCCCCCCCCCCCAAAAAAAAAAAAAAAAAAAATTCCAGATGAGCAAATAACAACTACCACCACCAGCCTATATATATGCAGCAGTTGATTTATATGGTAATTATTCAAGAATCAATGTCAGAAACTTGAGTTGAATCCTTGTACCTGACCTTGTCCATCCTAAAATGTATGTCTAAAGACCACAAACAGATTGTAAAGCATATTTATAATCTGCAATTTTAAGCTGCATCTATGCTTGTACTTGAGGGAATTTAGATTATTCAAACAAAGTTAACTTTTATTTTCACTGCTAATGAAATAATATTTTTTTTAAGAAGTTACAGTTTTTCAATACCACCATAGGGAATTTAGAATTCTAGAGTTCATTTTCGGTCTATTTTGTTCCCCTCGTTTTACTTTTCTGCAAAATCATTAAAGAAATTAATTTCGAATCGATGAAGTAGCAAGATAGACATGATTTATGCACCACTGGATTGGTATCTAAATTGTAAAATGTTGGTGTTAGTGAGGACAACTGCATTGAGGATATATAATAAGTAGCCGGCACAAACAGTTACAAGGACAACTGCAAGATAGGGTATGTACGTCCTTAAGTTTATGACAATTGCACCTATTTTGGAATCCATAGTCATCAAATAATATTTAACTGAATCAACAGACCATATCTAATTACAATTAAACTACGATTAATGCTTATCTTACTGACTAAAAAGAATTCATTTAAGTAGTGTTTAGTGTTCAGTTTCACGGGAAAGCTTTACACCTCTAGAGAGAGCTTAGAGGACCCCCCTAAAGGTAAGTTCATCTATCTCTTTCTGTCTCATTGTGTTCATGTCCACATCTTTATTGATCAATTGTATACAAAAATTGAATTTGGGTTTTATAATTGTGATGTTTTGATAGTCTTTGTGAACTACGAGAATCGTTAGCCATGTACAAAAATATTCATGGGATGTTTCAGATTGTCTTCTGCAATTACTGTACTCTAAATCTTGGCTATTCACAGTGTTTAGACAGACAAGACACTAGGAGACTTCTTAATTATTCATTAGGCTCTTCAGGGGATTAACAAATTATCATATGTTATAAGCATAGTTTAATCTTGTCAAAATTTTATCTATGAAATCATAAAAACTGCAAAAGTTCCATATAATATGAAATCACGGAGATGAAACTAACTCCAATGAAATTTCTCAAAATGAGTATCACCAACTTATGCTTCACCCTAATGGTTACCAAACATAAAACAAACAGAAGCTGGTTTTCCTGGAAAAATTTGAAGAGATTTCTGTGTCGGATAGAATTGCAGGACAAATTAGCTTTAGGGAAGAGACAAAGCTTAGAACAAAACAGATTATTATTATTATTTTTATTTTTATTTATCAACCATGCAACATTCAAGCAAGCATTTCATATATGGATATAACTTTTGCAGCCTAATATTAAAACTAGACAAACAAGTTCAACAACTTGCTTTCTATTGTACTTAAAATTCTACGATCTGTTTTCGTTCCTTAGAACTCCGTAGAAATGGAAGAGGAAGAATATACTAAACATTGTCTTGAAGAACAAGGTCAGAGTAAAGAAGAGAAGCCTGATAAACAAGATGACAGCAATCAAACAGAGAGAGTTATTCCAATGCTCGAAGCTAAGCAGTTACTAGATAATATGACAGAAGAGAGACATGAAAATGAAGCTGAAGTCAAAGTTGAAAACCGTGCAATGGAAGAAGGAAGAGATGGAGATGGCCAAACTGATTCATCAAAGAAACTAAAACAAGGTTCAAAGCATAATCTCAAGGCAAAGGTCACCATCCCTCAGCCATTTTCTTTGGCAACGGAGAAAAGAATGTCTAGAGAAAAGCGAGGGTCAATGGATTTAAAGGACTCGAAAAGAACCCTAGCCAAATCTGCCAGTTTGAATTACAAGTAAGTTCTAACATATCATAATCTCAAATTTTCATTATTTGTTCCTTTGGAAAAATTGGACCTTGCCTTCTAGCCAATATATTTTCCTAAGGATAACATGGCCTCCCAAGTTTTATGGCTTATATATATATATATATATATTAGCAAAGGCTTGTATTCTTGGTATAAAGTCAAAGAATGTGAAATCTTGGCTTTGTTTGAAACTACAGGTTCTCTGCTCAATGGCCTAAAGTTAGTACTAATGAGCATGTTGATAAAAATATAGAGGTAAGAAGCATATATTCTAATTGTGAAGCACAAGCCTCTGTCAATTTGAAGTTCTAATTAAAAGATATTCTGAATTAAGGAATTTCTCCAAAGATTGAAAAATATATATATATATATATATATATATATATATATATATATATATATATATATCTAATACAGGAAAGAGTATTACTTTTATCACTATATAGAACAGAGATGATGATTAAGGCTTCTTTACACAACATTTTCCATCCATTGTTGTTATATATCAAAACCAATTTGTTATGCTTATTATAAAATTTTATGCAGTTAGCAAACTTGTCTCTTCATTGGCTCCTGATACAGAATCATCTTAAAACAAAGGATAAAGTTCAAGTAAAAGAGGTTGAAAGAAAGAAACAAGTCAATGCCAAGGTGAGAAATGAGATTAAACATTTCTTATTTCTTGGTTTTCCATCTTTTTACCTAATAAGATTGAATTCAAAGCTTTCAATACATAATTAGAGTTATTGCCATAAATGTATGAGTGAAGAAGCCGGAAGGTGATGAACTGGAGAGCACTAAATTTCAAAAGAGTTCCACATTCAAAGCGTTGCCATTGCCGAGCTTTTATCACAGAAAAGATTCCATTTCAGCACCAGTATCAAAGAAGGTAAGCCTTTGAACTTGTGTGTTAACTTGGTGGCAAGTTAGAAATTTTTGGGAATGCTAATAGTAGCACAACTTACAAGAACAAACAACATATGGATTTTGACAGATCCAAACTCTTTAATAAACTCGATCTGATTAACTAAGCATACTATATGAAAATCTCACACCAAGCTATAGGTATATCTGTAACATTTCAAGCCAATTTAAGGTAAAATTAAGTTGAAATGTGGAGTTTAATTCTTAAATTTATCATAATTATGGTTGATTGAGAAAATACAGATGCCGACGACATATCCCAAATCACCTTTGATTAGCCAACAAAATAAGCATCTGCACAATAAAGAAAAGAACAAAGTAGAAGACAAAGATAAAAGGGTTTTGAAGAAGGTAAGTAGCAGCACAAAGGACTAAGCAAACTACTTAAAACTACTAGAAAGACACTTAGCACTCCAAAAGAGATGGTGAAAAGTGTAGCTTCAAGTGCAAGATGATGGAGAGAGGTGTAGTTTCAAGTCTATAAACTTGAAAGGAAAGAAATATGGAATAAACATTTTCTCTGTATTAGCACACCATTCACAAGTTTACACGGGTTCTCTTTATAGGAGTGTATACATGCACATAACTAGCTAGCCTAATTAATAATTTCCTAATTACAGCATTTGACCAATATTCTATTTACAGCAAATATCCTCCAAAGAATTATATTTACAGCTAATATAATTTGGTAGTATTACTACCGAATCTTTCCTTTTCAACACTACCTCTCGAGCTGGTTTGAAGATATCCTCCATAGCCAGCTTACTAATTAGTTTGTCGAACTGTCTTGTAGGAAGTCCCTTTGTAAGCACATCTGCAACTTTCTCGGTAGTAGGAATGTACGGCATACATATCAATCCTTTTCCGAGCTTTTCCTTGATGAAGTGTTTGTCTACCTCCATGTGCTTTGTTCTGTCATGAAGCACTGGATTGTGAGCAATCGAAATAGCAAATTTATTGTCACAGTACAATTTCATTGGCAACGGATTAAAGACCTTTAATTCATCCAATAGTCTCTTAATCCATAACACCTCACAAATTCCATGAGCAACTGATCTAAACTTGGCCTCTGCGCTGCTTCTTGCTACTACATTCTGTTTTTTACTCTGCCAGGTGACAAGGTTACCTCGAACAAAGGTGTAGTAGCCAGAAGTTGACCATCTATCAATAGCACTCCCAGTCCAATCCGCATCAGTATAGGCTTCAACTTGCAAATGCCCACGGTTTTTTAACAGTAGACCTCTTCTAGGGGTCCCTTTAGGTATTTGAGAATTCTGTAGACTGCATCAAAGTGTTCTCGTCCAGGTGAATGCATAAACTGGCTATTGGCTAACCATGCTGACTGCAAAGGCTATATCTGGACGTGTATGTGACAAGTAGATCAGTCTTCCAACAAGTCTTTGGTACTGCTATTTATTCATAACTTCTTTATCTTTAAAAGGTTGCAGCTTTAGGTTGGGCTCAATGGGTGTCTCGGCTGGTTTACATCCTAGCAGACTGTCTCATTAAGTAAATCAAGAAAATATTTACGTTGATTCACAAATATACCTTCTTTGGATCTAGCAAACTCCATTCCAAGAAAGTATTTTAATGCACCAAAATCCTTGATCTCAAAGTCAGTTGCAAGTCTCTTTTTCAGTCTTTCCAATTCTTCATTGTCATTACCTGTCAAGACTATATCATCCACATAGACAATTTACACTGCAACCTTGCCTTCTCTACTATGTTTGTAGAACATGGTATGATCAGCTTGGCTCTGACAGTAGCCATAATTCTTCACAGCTCTCCCAAATCTCTCAAACCAAGCTCTAGGGGACTGTTTGAGACCATATAAAGATTTTTTCAGTCTACAGACTTTATTAGGTTCCAATTTTCCCTCAAACCCAGGTAGTAGATTCATAAAGACCTCCTCCTTAAGATCTCTATTTAAAAAGGCAATTTTTACATTTAACTGGTGTAATGGCCAGCTGAAATTCATAGCCAAAGATAACAAAATTCTGATTGAGTTTATCTTGGCTACAGGAGCAAAAGTTTATGATAATCAATTCCATAGGTCTGGGTGAACCCTTTTGCTACTAGTCTTGCCTTGTACCTCTCTATGCTACCATCAACTTTACATTTCACAGTAAAGACCCACTTGCAGCCTATTGTTCTTTTCTCCTTAGGTAAATCAACTATCTCCCAAATACCACTTCTTTTAAGAGCATTCATCTCTTCTATCATTGCTAACTTTCAATTTGGATCATCAAGAGCTTCCTGAATATTTCTAAGGACAAACAAGTGTGAGATTTTTGAGGTAAAAACCCTATGAGTATGAGAGAGTTTTTCATAAGAAAGATATTTAGCAATGGGATATTTTGGATTTGGATATTTGATTCAAATACCTTTCTTAACAGCTATAGGAATATCAAAGTCCAATGGTTCTTGGTTAGGAGAAAGGTTGGGAACGGAATTACCTGTGATATCTGGAGATCCAGTTCACAGAGGTTGAGATTGACCATTTCCAAGAAGAATAAGCTGACTTTGACTCTTTTGATGAGGTATTCTCTGAGTATAAACTAGAGGCTCGGTTTTGGAAACTTTAGTGTCTGGTTGTAGTGATTCTTCCCCTGTTTCAGATACATTGACACTATATGACTAGGATTCCCATCATTGTTTTCATTGGTTTTATCACATTGTTCCTAACTTTGAATTTCGGGAATAACATGTAACGACCCAGCTCCTCATGGATCCGGATCTTTAAACGGGTCGTAACCCGACCCAAAAACATTCGAGGGTAATACGGTCATTTCACGCTACATTTAAATATCAAAGTCCGAAGAGGGCAAAATGGTAATCTATCACAATTCAATAAATTGAGACTCAAGGGTACAACGGTCATTAACTTGTATCACATAGTAAATGAAATAAGATTCGGGGCAATACAGTCCTTTCGGGGGTTAAAAATATAATTATGGCATTTTAATGGGTCATAAAATAATTATGTGAAACCTCACTTGGGTGCCAAAGTGCAATTTGGGAAACTAAACACACATTACTTAAGAGATAGAAACCGGTCGACGTATCCACACCATACATCGACTGGTTTGGGTATGAACAGTGGGTAAACCCACTGCCAAGATACCGGTCGACGTATGGGAAGCCATACGTCAATTGGTTTGGGACATGATACCGATCGACGTATGGGATGCCATACGTCGACTGGTTTGGAACGTATGCAACATTAACCTACACTGTGAAGATACCGGTCGACGTATGGGAAGCTATACGTTGACCGATTCTGGGAAATCTTCACTTCCACTTCCCACTGTCCAGTGATAACCTAGATACACCAACATTGGTAATTCAAACACCCACGCCACTACACTTACGTGTAATTTTAATACATTTCAACAATAAATTCAATAACAACAACGTTATTAACATAATTTACCACACGTCACTAAAATACACTAGAGAATTTAGTATAATTAAAAGTTAATTACATTTTCTTAATGGCCATGAATACAAAATTATTTACATTCCCAAAATTACAATTACACATGAAATGGCCAAATACAAAATAGCAAAAAAAACATCTTCTAACAACTTTCAAGCTTGCGGAGGAATCTCATCCGTCATTTTGCCATGACCTGAAAAAAATATAAGTATAGTGGGGTGAGCAATTTGCTCAGTAGAAGACGCTAAAGACGCACCTCATGAGACCCCGTGAATCCAAAACAAAGAATAGGCCAATAGGAGTTGGGGTCATTCAACATAGGAAAAGAAAAAAAATACAACATGGTTATCATTCTCAACACAAATAATAAGATGCAATGGAGATGCAATGCATGCTGATGCCACTCCCCATTTTCACAATTAGGATCATCACCTTCAAACTGTTAATGTAACCCCCTTTGGTGACTCTGCAGCGCCGAGAGAAGGATTGGCTACTGTCCCTGACCTTTGGTGGCTCCGCAGCGTCATTATGGGTCCCAGATAGCTCAACCACGCTAGGGCAATCTCCCTAGTTCCTTCTAGGTTACATTAACCTACCGGCCCGTTAGTGACTCCGCAGCGACCGGGTTTTCCAAAACACTTTCATCAAAATATTCTTTCCCAAAACTCCCCATTTTCATTTCAAAAATAATTTCTTCCCTTCATGCAACCCAATGGTGTACATGCATGTCTCATGATCTCAATTATATGAAAATGAGGAATTTGACACAACACAAGTAAGCATGTTCTCATACTTTTAATATTTAAACAATAATGGATTATCACAAAATACAATAGGGCATGCTTTCATACACCATTCATAGCAATGTGAACAATACAATAGGCATAAAACTCATTATATAAGCATGCTTCTCATATAGCACAATCAAGACAAGTCTTCACATATATAATATCAAGACATTTTAGGCTACAATTAACACCAATAAGCATGCTATAACACAATTCAAGTAGAATAACTCACAAAGGTACATGAATAATGTGAATTAGGAAGCCCCTACCTCAAATTGAGCAAAACGCTTAAAATGATCAAGAATTTTGAAATCCAAGGGAAGCACCTAAGTTGAAATTGTTTACACTAGCGCGTAGAGCTCGTCGTGCTCTTCGTTTCACCTCAAACGTCACTCGAAAACTCCAAGAATTGAAGAAGTTATCAAGTCTCAAAGATTTGAAGCAAAGAAGAAGGAAAAATGGAGTGAAGGTAGAGAGAGGGAAGCGGTAGCGGGGAGAGAGAGTGTGAGAGACCAAAAATGGTCTCTAACCAATTTGTTTCAATGGTGGGTCCCACCACTAATTCTTTTCTTTTCCCTTTTTCTTTTTAATTTCAATTTACACCACATACATAAAAATGCACCACTTAATTCACACAAATTAAAATGTATGAAATGTAAATGGACCCAACCACAATCCCGTACACATAACGTGAAAAGACGAAAATGCCCCTGTGACAATGAAAATTCCGAAAAAATGAAAAACGCTGAAAAATCGAAAACGTCACAATCTACCATCCTTAAAGAGATTTCGTCCTCGAAATCTACCCTCCTTAAAGAAAAGGCACAACAGTCACACACTCTCCAAGAACACCTTACAAAACTCCGAGACTATGAATCCACCAACATTATTGCCTTTGACACTGGACGTCAATAGGCAGTCACAATCTATCGCCAGAGAACCTAATGATCACCACCTTATGAATATACTCCTCACTCATAACATTATACACAAAACCCGTTGAATTTTATACTCAACTTAAAACCAACACTGGTCCTTTCTATATAACTATACAAGGCTTGAAAGAAAAATGGTTACAAGACCCCTGAACATGACAACATCCTATCTCAACCGTCTCTTTATAGAACAAACCAGACCCCAATGAGGATCAGACTTAACCTTAGATCAACGCATCTCTGTCAAGCTAATACTTGTCATCCAACATACAGCTATACAACCACATAATCCTATAACGAACACCAATTGCACCAACCGACGATCATCATACTGATCAACCTCAAGATAACTAAATGATGAATCTCCCAACAACCATACAATCGTGAGTCACCCAAAATAATAAAATGTACTACCCTGCATTCTGAACACAAATCCTCAAAACGAGATTCTCAAAAATCAATGATCGTACCACTAACCTGCTATCAAACACCCAATACCATTCAACACCTTTCGTCACTCAAGATAAATCATGTAAGTCCACATTGTTATCATACTTTCACTATCACTAACAAGTCGGAGTAATCATTGACCCTTGACCCGACATCGTGCCAAAGAGGGATTGATTCAGGAGAAATGGTTGGCCAGGCCATCCTCATCCTCAATCTGATCTCGACACAGACGTCGTTCTTGTCTTCAGGTCTAAACCTCAAACACAACTCTATACCGTCCACAAAACAATCAGGAGATCTACTCTCTAATCAATCTATCACTCTACGTAACCTCGTCCGCCATACAGTCACATATCAGCTCTAAAATCCCAATTGCACTTTAATTACATAACCCTTAACAAGCCGAAAACAAAACGACACCAAACATCACAATCACCAACTATTATAAAAGATCTCTATCTCTTCGTAACATCCATACCAGGTAAATGACTCCAAGTCACAATTCGTTTTGATCCTTACCTCTTCAAAACATTTAATACGATCGTCGCATATTTGAAACCTTAAAATCAAGGTCAATCACTCCTACAGTTCTTCATTGGAACCCTACAATCACGCTCTAGCTACAAAACATTCAAACAATACCAACATTTGTCCTCAAGACACCACTAGAATCAATCACTTTTAAAATCATCCAAATACATGAGTTATATCACCCAATTATCCTCAAACTGCAATTCACGACACATTCCCTAGCCATCACCGCTAGCACTAATCATCAGAAACATAACCCTCATTCGGCAACCCGTGCCACACATCCCACCAATCAAAACCATCCTCAAAACAAATTCCACCAAAAACCAAGGACTATACATTCCGCCGTGGAAGTAAGTCGACCCCTTCAATCAAAATCTCAATCGATGAACTCTAACGGCGCAATACCTACTTACAATTCATCCACCCACAGACACGCAAAATTCCTAGACAGAGACAAGACTCACAACAAACAACATCCTTGCCAGGACTGGAACAACAGAAAGGGTAACAAGCCTGGTTCTCAGAAGAGACTAACGACTCATGCCTGAGTGCACCTAGTGACTAGTCACATGTTATTCATCAATCATCCAGCCATAGGCACTCAATCTCACCTGAGACAAAAAGAACTCCTTATGCACAAGGAGAAGAATCAACTAGATACATATACGAGACTACGACCGTAACTCTAGGCGACCTCGCCAAAAATGGACCGTCATACACAGTCAACATCAAAGCTTTGCATAAGTACCCCGCAACACTTATGATAAGAGTACCAACGTTCACGTCACAGAAACACAAGGAACAAGACTCGTCACGTCAGTCACATCCACCCACGACTCGTCAAAGGAAAAAGTGCCTATCTGGCAACACCGCTCTCACCAGCTCAAGAGACTAAACTGCCCCCAATCACTTCAACTAACACACAACCCCATCGCCTATCTAACAACACACAACCCCATCTCATAATCCCTAATCCCTCCTCGGATCATACCTGAAACCATCATGCTCATCCGCACTAAAGATCACACCACGACATCATAACACCTCCCCTATCACCCATCCCGACAACCGTTCAAACCTATTACCCCATCAAACCATCAAGTCACTATTAAAAGATTTTTCCCAAACATCCTTAAGATAATATCTTTATAAATAAAGGACAAACATAACGCTCACTGCTTCCCCTAACAACCACTATTTACCACTAGCTGATAAGTGCTTAAATGTTGCACATTTCAGCACCTAAGTTAGGATATTTCAGTCTTTGCATCTATCTTAATTTCATGTTTTAGTCCTAATTTATGTTTATGTGTATTTCAGGGTAATAAAGTTAAAATGAGCTAATTTTGGTTCACTAAAGCCTTTTTGGAGTCAAGCAAAGATATTTAGAAAAAGCTCAGAAAATGGTAAAAATGAGGTCGCAGCCCATTGCTCGTATAGTGTGTTTATTCTTCAAAAGCGGTCAATCTCAGGCCTTTGATGATGTTCCCATAGATGAAGAAGCAAACCAATGAGCTCAGGGCCAAAATGGAGCTAAATAGGGCTTAAAGGAAATTTCCAACTCTTGGGGGATCGATCCCCCAGGGTGGGGGGATTGATCCTCCAGGACTTGGCAATATTATAGGATTTTCTTATTATTTGGGCTTATTTTGTGAACTATTGGGCTTTAATTTGGTTATTGCTTATGGTCCAGTGAGCCATTAGTTTAGGGTTAGTTTTTATTTTATTAAGGTGGAGATTATTATTTTAATTATTAAGTTTTATTAGTTTTCTGTATCTTAAAATAGAAGGTTCTCTCTGGGGAAAAAAGAAAAGCTAGGGGTTTGAAGAATATTTTACAGAGGCTTTGTCTACAATTGAAGGAAGAAGAAGAAGGAACCAAAAGATGGAGATGGAGCTTGTTGACACCATGATCATCTTTTCCATGAGCTAGTTCTTCACTTAGGGCTTGGATGAGCCCTAAGTTCATGTAACCTAAACCTTTGTTTTTCTTTTCTTGGAGAATTATTATGTTGTAATTAAATATATGGCCTTGTGATTTATTTATATATACGTGCTTGATTTGACAAATTAGGGCTTGTATTGATTAATTCTTCCATTGAAATCTCCAAGTTGATTGTATATCTATATATGATTAATTAGGAATTTTATTCTTTATTAGATGATTGAAAATTAATTCTTCCATTGATTCTATATGAAAATTGCATGTCTATGTGTGATTGATTTAGAATTATACTCTACACTAGATACTTCTTTTAGTTGTGTTTAGTGATGGCCATAGCATGAGACTTAGTTGATACAATTGTCAATTAATTTGATGGATAAAGGCTTAATCTTGATGGGTTGTTCTACAAATTAGCATATTGTCATTAGGTAATTGTAGTAAAGTAGGCAATTTTTGTTTGATTATGTTAATCCATACTTCTAATTACAATTAGTATTATCCTCTTGATTGATGTGTGCTCTTATCGGATACATTTGTGAATGTGTATGGTGGGTTATGACGTAGTCTTGAATGGGTTCTACACTTTAGTTTAATTATCATTAGGTAGACAATTCATTCTTGATGTTGATAATCTATGATTACAATTGTGATTTGTGATGATAATGTGACCACATCTATAATTACACTAATGAATTCCCCATTAATTGAAAGCATATGGTTAATTACATGGGCTTAGTAGTGAATCCTAACCCTAAGACTCTCTTCATATCTCTTTAATTCTTAGTTTAATTTAGTTAAATTTATTTGCATTGTTATTTCCATTTCCATGTTTTTAATTTAACTCTAGCTTAATCACTTCACCAAACTCTTTTTCTCTCAATCTCTCTCTCTCTCTCTTGTGCAAGCTCATTAGCACTAAAATCAAGTTTAATCCCAACATGTGTTCAATTCTTGGGTTCGATCCCTTCTCGCTTCATACTACATAGTATAAGTGTCTAGCGGTTTATAAATTATAAAATATGATGCCCACTTGACATTAATTCTAAACCTAAAGTGTTGTACATTATTTTGTGCACACGCTCGGGTCGCATCACTAGCGAAGGACATCCACACGGCAATGCCATGCCAACAATTCCACAAATAGAAATGAGCATAGAAATCCAAAATGCTTAACACCTAACTGTCTTCTTAAAACCATCAGTGATGCCATCAATTACTAGCGCTTAACTGACAACTTAATCCACTCATTCTAAGGTGGTCTACGTGCCTAAATGGGAAAACCTCATACTTCGGGTTCAACGTCATCACATCTTTTCCTCACTATTCCTTGGAACACTTGACCCCAACAAAAGTCAAAAGGTCCACCAATTAAACCTACATGACCAATATCGTCCTAATCATTCTTATAATCAGTCTATCTTTCCGAATCCTCAAACACCAAGCACTAATTCCTGACATGTCAGAGACAATTAAAGTGCAACCCGAATCCATAGCTCTCAAATTCTAAAACACAATTCACTTGACAATGCCATACTCAACGGCTATCATTTCATCCATAAACAACCAAACTCTCCAATGACCCCGTACTACCTGCTTTATCATGCAACCCTACACTACACAACTAAAGCTGACCACTATATCTCACCTCAAAACCTTCTAGACAGTCGTGCTAACCCAAAACTCCATTCATCGACCGAGCCATACAATCAACTCACCGAGAGTCAACTACCGTTACAAAAAAAAGAATTATACATGGCACACTACAGAAACAGTCCCAAAAAGGAAAACAAACACCACGCCAAACGGTCAACCACACAAACTACACTCTAAGACAACTACAAAACAATAGTCTTTCATTGGTATCTAACTAGACACTCGGGTCATACCTACAACTGACCTTTCCGGCTAAACAATAGGGTACATCTGATACCCCTCGATTCTAGAGCCATGGGTGATCAAGTTCGAGCACAGATCCGAGGGATACTAAACAATCAATATGTAAACAAGCAGGAATAAAACTGAATTAAGATTAACATAATAATAAAATAGAAAGAAAACTAAAATGAAAATCCTCAAACCTTTAAATAATAAATTAATATAATTTAAATCCGTACAACTCAATAATCCACCTAGGGGACACCTAATTCCAAATCTTTAAATAAATTTACAGAATTAAAATCCAAAACCAAAATAGAAAGGAAATCCTATGTAACCGGAAGAGTGAGTGTCTGTATCTACATCAACACGATCAAACTCTAAGCCTGGTACTGGCGAATACCTGAAAAATAGGAGTGGGTCAGGCCCACATGTAAGTTCCAATCTACTACAATCCGTACATAAACCCGATACGCAGATACATCCTAGATAGCTCGGCAATATCTACAATAGTCCTTATATATATATATATATATACATACTATAGGATGCTCACTAGCATATAACATAGTTCAGCCTGGGTAGAAGGTGACATATAAAACACACTTTTCAGCGGCCAAGTACCTAGACCTACTAGGGAACATTAGCTATATCTAGCTACTAAACCTTTGCAATATACGCACCCTAACTGTGATCAGGAGACTCAAACTCGTATCACGGTACCATAATTATATATATATATAAATTCCTTCCTAATGCAGAAAGATAAAACAAGCATCCGTTATGTCGTTCAACTGTTTTAGTTGACAGGACATGCATCCATGTAGGATTTAACTGTTTTAGTTAATCCATTCCGTATGTATGAAGGGGTAGGACTTAGCTTTTTGATCTAATCCATCTCTAATATGTCACCGTCCCATACCGGTACATATTATGCAAATGATCCATAAATGATGCACATTTATTAGAACATCAAATACATCCAGAGTCCGGCACAATAGCAATCAGATGTAAACAAGATTCTATTATGCATACAGTACATGATTAAAATCATGAAACATCCATTTAAATTGCTAAAGTAGTGATAAACAATTTAAACTATCCATTTCCATATAATTGACAGAACAGAAATATAACAGTTCAGCAATTAACATCCATAGCATGATATAATGATTATCAGAATTATGAACTGAGCACATTATACTATACATTCCAAACCATACTCTCATACTAGTTCTTTTCGTTTGCTAAAATAAATCTAGTAATCACAACTTGCACTATCCTTGATGGTATGTCAATCACTGCTTAAATTACATGACGTCCCTAACCACAGCATAACCAACCTTCTTGGAACCAAAGTAGGTCATTCAGTAGTTTTATTGATATGACACAAACATAAGTAAGACTTAGTGTTTCGAACTAATCCATCCCAGAATAGGTAGGTCTTAGTGTTTTGAACTAAGCCACCCTAAATTCATTTATGAATTAATGTAGGTAAACAAATATTAAGTTTCCTGAACATTGTTTAATTCATTTAAACATTAATTTCAATTGTCAAAGCAATTAAGTTATACTTCCATTCGATCTTAACAACATATAAGTTATTTAAATTTCCAAACCATCCACCTTCTTAGTATATATAGATATAAGATGCATTCTGGGATCTTCATAAGTCCATTAAATCCATTTAGGTTAATTAAAATAGGTTTAGAAACCATTCTGGCCAATTAAAACCAAAATCCAAGTCGTAGCCCAACTTAGTCAGCTCAATTGCCAACTGAGCAGGCTAAGTTGCTAACTTAATCGGCTCAGTTCCCAACTAAGTCGGCTAAGTTCCTAATTTAGTCGACTCAGTTCGCAACTGAGTCGGCTAAGTTGATGCTAAAGCTGTCTTCTTCGTCCATTCAGACCCTGTAAGCCCCAGAACTCCATTGTTAAAGCCTCTAAGCTTCAACCTACGTCCCATACGTCCATACTAAATTATTTTAAGTATTTTAACATGCAAAGATTTATCTTAAACAACAATTATGCATCAAAACTTCCACAACCATTCAAAATAAGAAACTGAAACTAAAAACATATACCCTCTGTTTTAATCCAGTTAAGCATGCATAATTACTCAATTTTAGCATTCATTAAACCCCTGGAGTCTACATAGAATGCATAGAACACAAGTTTACAGGAAAGAGATAGACTGAAACTTGCCTTTAGGTTTCGGTTCGAAACCTTTCAACGTCGTTGCTAAATTCTCCAAGACTGTTCGCTCCTCTGGTCACTGTTCTCTACCTCTGTTGCGTCTTGGTTCATCCTACGCACAACCCCCTTAATTAATCTCTCAAGACCCTCACTGTGTATCTCTCTTCACGTTCCAGAGCCTCTGTTTTTTCCTTTTCAAGATATTACGGGAATATGGTTTTCTCAAAACCCTTACAGACATATAAGAATATATATATATATATATATATAGCCGTCTCCAATCCTAAATCTGCTTATAACCTTATATATATATAGTCTTCTGTAAAGCCCTAATCCTAGTTCCAGCCTAATGATATGTCGGCTACTATATGAAATAAAACCCTAAACCTAAACTATAAAAACAACACACATAAATTATATAAGCTACCAAAATTAAATTAAAACAATAATCTACCAAAGACACGTCAATTAAAATATCATTAATCAAATATTTAAATTAAATAAAAACAATTAAACAAGTAATTTAAAATAAATAAAAATAAATAAACAATTGCAACCAAACTCATAGCCAGATAATCACATTTAAATGCAAACAAAACAAATAATCAATTAAGTAACTAAAATGCACCAAAAACAATTAATTAAATCCCAATTATATCCTTTTAGAAATTAGGGGTGTCATAGTACACAACTCCTATATCCCTAACACTGTCATTTTCCAATCAATTGCTAAGGCTACCATCCAACATAATGGAATGTTCACATTGCTTTCATCTGAGTTATGTGCCCGCAGCTCGCTCAGTGTGGTAGCCTTCTGGTGCCACCTGCACACGCTCACGCACACCCGCCCACAAGGCCACAAAACAAGGAAATCAAATAAAACAAGCCACCAAGCCCAAGAGGTCACTTCTCATCCTGGCTCAACACAATCTATGACCAACACTCTATGGTCACCAAACAACATCACACCGAACTTTTGTCTTCCTCACTGGAAATCAAAACAAAAGGTGCAACCTACTCATCTCGTCGCCAATCCAAGATCAACCATTATTCATACTCTCAAAATAACAATCTAAAAAACAAACTCTCAACCTTAAACATCAGTGAACTTCTAAATAAGAATCCAAATACTGACCCGTACAAGACTTGAATCTCACAAGTCACACTCTGCAACCCACCTCACGTACTATGACATCCAAGCAACTTTGCTTACATTGAAGGATCCCATGACTCACACAGCCTACTCTACTAATCCATTATCCCAAGAGTCCATTTGCTACACCGAGGAAACACAACACAACCTCTCGCCCATGCAAGAAAATGAGAACTTCCGTCTCGGAAGACACCTAAGATTAAACCCTCCCACTGTTACTAGTCTCTAAGGAAAGGACCCCTAATGAAGTAACGTGTTCAGATCAAACTGGACTCAATAGATCATGCCATTCACATCACCCCTTCCTCACAATGCTGACACTTTCCCTAGTCACAGGTGATAACTTACAGAACTAACACAATATAGAAGCGCGCATACCAAACGATTACATACTGAAAACAAAACACCTATTTCATAGATTAGTGCTACACACATATAACGTATAAGTATGTGATCACATAAGCAAATTAACACGTAAGCAATTAAGCAGGTAAGCAAGTAAGCAAATAAGCGTGCTTCTTAAACAGTTAAACACGTAGCACATAATCACGCAATTTAATTTCTCATGCAATCCTACATAGGCCTCTACCTGTCGTCCTAAGGTTTCGAACCATTGCTCTGATACCATTTTGTAACGACCCAGCTCCTCATGAATCTAGATCATTAAACGGGTCCTAACCCGACCCAAAAACATCCGAGGGTAATACGGTCATTTGTTACATTTAAATATCAAAGTCCGAAGAGGGCAAAATGGAAATTTACCACAATTCAATAAATTGAAACTCAAGGGTACAACGGTCATTAACTTATATCACATAATAAATGGAATAAGGTTCGGGGCAATATAGTCCTTTTGGGGGTTAAAAATATAATTATGGCATTTTATTGTGTCATAAAATAATTACGTGAAACCTCACTTGGGTGCCAAAGTGCAATTTAGGAAACTAAACACATATTACTTAAGAGACAGAAACCGGTCGACGTATCCACACCACACGTCGACTGGTTTAGGTATGAACAGTGGGAAAACCCACTGCCAAGATACCGGTCGACGTATGGGAAGCCATACGTCGGCTGGTTTGGGACATGATACCGGTCGACGTATGGGATACCATACGTCGACTGGTTTGGAACGTATGCAACATTAACCTACACTGTGAAGATACCGGTTGACGTATGGGAAGCTATATGTCGACCGGTTCTGGGAAATCTTCACTTTCACTTCCCACTGTCCAGTGATAACCTAGATACACCAACATTGGTAATTCAAACACCCATGCCACTACACTTACGTGTAATTTTAATATATTTCAACAGTAAATTCAATAACAACAACCACGTTATTAACATAATTTACCACACGTCACTAAAATACACTAGAGAATTTAGTGTAATTAAAAGTTAATTACATTTTCTCAATGGCCATGAATACAAAATTATTTACATTTCCAAAATTACAATTACACATGAAATGGCCAAATACAAAATAGCAAAAAAACATCGTCTAACAACTTTCAAGCTTGCGGAGGAATCTCATCTGTCATTTCTTTGCCATGACCTGAAAAAAATATAAGTATGGTGGGGTGAGCAATTTGCTCAGTAGGTGACGCCTAAGACGCACCTCATGAGACCCCGTGAATCCAAAACAAAGAATAGGCCAATAGGAGTTGGGGTCATTCAACATAGAAAAAGAAAAAAAATACAACATGGTTATCATTCTCAACACAAATAATAAGATGCAATGGAGATGTAATGCATGCCGATGCCGCTCCCCATTTTCACAATCAGGATCATCACCTTCAAACTGTTAATGTAACCCCCTTTGGTGGCTCCGCAACGCCGAGAGAAGGATTGGCTACTGCCCCTAACCTTTAGTGACTCCGCAGCGTCATTATGGGGCCCAGATAGCTCAACCACGCTAGGGCAATCTCCCTAATTCCCTCTAGGTTACATTAACCTACCGGCCCGTTGGTGACTCTGCAGCTACCGGGTTTTCCAAAACACTTTTATCAAAATATTCTTTTCCAAAACTCCCCATTTTCATTTCAAAAACAAGTTCTTTCCTTCATGCAACCCAATGGTGTACATGCATGTCTTATGATCTCAATACTATGAAAATGATGAATTTGACACAACACAAGTAAGCATGTTCTCATACTTTTAATATTTAAACAATAATGGATTATCACAAAATACAATAGGGCATACTTTCATACACCATTCATAGCATGTGAACAATATAATAAGCATAAAACTCATTATATAAGCATGCTTCTCATATAGCACAATCAAGACAAGTCTTCACATATTCACATGTATACAATCAAGACATTTTAGACTACAATTAACACCAATAAGCATGCTATAACACAATTCAAGTAGCATAACTCACAAAGGTACATGAATAATGTGAATTAGGAAGCCCCTACCTCAAATTGAGCAAAACCCTTAAAATGATCAAGAATTTCGAAATCCAAGGGAAGCACCTAAGCTAAAATTGCTTACATTAGCGCATAGAGCTCGTCGTGCTCTTCGTTTCACCTCAAGCGTCACTCGAAAACTCCAAGAATTGAAGAAGTTATCAAGTCTCAAAGATTTGAAGCAAAGAAGAAGGAAAAATAGAGTGAAGGTAAAGAGGGGGAAGAGGTAGCGGGAAGAGAGAGTGTGAGAGACCAAAAATGGTCTCTAACCAATTTGTTTTAATGGTGGGTCCCACCACTAATTCTTTTCTTTTCCCTTTTTCTTTTTAATTTCAATTTACACCACATACATAAAAATACACCACTTAATCCACACAAATTAAAATGTATGAAATGCAAATGGACCCAACCACAATCTCGTACACATAACGTGAAAAGACGAAAAAGCCCTTGTGACAATAAAAATTTCGAAAAAATGAAAAACGCTGAAAAATCGGAAACGTCACATAACAGTAGGATGAGGTGAAAGAGTCAAAATCATATTTGGTAAAGGAATAGGAGATAAATCCCAAAAATTTTTCCAAATCAGAGTACATCTAATTCACGTTATCTCAGAGCTCATTGGCCGTGGAGTAGCACATATAGTTGGAGCTAATATCCTCGTCCATGGAGTTCACAAGCCAAGTCACCACCATTGAATTTTCTGCATCCCAGGTCACGTACGTTGGGTCCTCTGATGCCGGTGCCTTCTTGTCTCCCGTTAGGTACCCGATCTTTCCCCGCCCTCTGATGTACATCTGAACGGACTGGGACCATTGTAAACAATTGTCACCATTAAGGCAAATATTGGTGATCTGAACCGAGTGAGAATCGGTACTGGGGGCTTGGGTTGTCGGATTGGTTGACTGTGTTGTGATAGACGAGGTTGACATGGAAAAAATGTCAGACATGGCTGATTAGCGAAGAAATTGTGCAGAAAAGAAAATTAGGTTTTTTTTTTTTTTTTTTTTTTTTAGGGTGGCTCTAATACCATATAAACTTGAAAGGAAAGAAATATGGAATAAACTTTTTCTCTATATTAGCACACCATTCACAAGTTTACACGGGTTCTCTTTATAGGAGAGAATACACCCATATAACTAGCTAGTCTAATTAATAATTTCTTAATTGACCGCATTTGACCAATATTCTATTAATATTTGGTGGTATTATGACCAAATCTTTCCTTTTCAACAAAGTCACTTCAATAATTTTGATGCTTTCAACTGCATTATGAGTCACAAAACTTCTTTATTATCATCATAGTTTAATTAATCCTTCAAGAGGTTCCTTGTTTGCCGCATTCCTGGTCTTTAACATTTGTACTCTTACTAATACCATATTCAACTGTTCTCTTAGATTTATTTAAATAGTATCTGTATTATTTTCATTTTTTATTTTATTTTTCCTTTCAAAAATCGTTCTGGTGCATAAAGGGAGGGAATCTTTTTTTTATTTTTTAATTTTTTTTAGGTATATTCTCACCTATAACACCCACGAATGCCCACTAAGGGGTTCGAACCCCTTACCTTCACTTATTAATCAGCAGTACGAGTTTTGAGTACATAGATGTCACTTTGTGTAAATAATACCAAGATTAGATATATAATCAGTTTATCTCTTGTGATATCCTGCATTGATGGAACCAACATTAGTTGATGACCTAATCTTAGATGCCAAGGGGTTAATAGTTTTGCAGTTAATCCATTGGAAGGTTTTTAGAAATATTTCTACCTATGTTGAACTCCTGTGAATCGGAGAAACCAACTACAACCTCTAAGAAAAGTGGATTGAAAACCAGGAGTGGTCCTTGTTTCTTTTCATCACACGTGATAAGATTTTATAGACTTCATATCACATTTATCACAATCCAAAGAAGAGGATTCTGAGCTCATTCTTGCTAGTGATATTACTACCTGAACATTTTTATACCGCATTTTCAAATTTTTTTGCTCATTTAGTTTAGGTTATGATTTTGATGATCCGATCAAACTCGTTCACCAAGCTGTTAGAAAAGATGGCACCGACATGAATATATAGTGTCATACAAGTTGATGAACAAAGAGATGATGATGTAGAAAGTAAGGATAAAAATGTCTGGATAATCAAACACTAATCATAACTAATGAGAATCATACAAAAGAGATAGTGATTACAAATGACAACTCATAAAGATGACAGTACATGAGTACTGATCACCCGGCCAGTTATTACAGCCACTATACATATGATATGTTTTAATTAAAGAGTCCATTGACTGGAGTGAATATCGTGTAAACCGGTCGAGCCAATCTTGAAAAAGGGTTACGAACAGGCGGATTCGCGATATTAAAGACATTCCATGCACATCACTGATGCTGACCTAGGTAGACCGATATGAGGCAGCAGATCATTACTTTGTAGAAATAAATGAAGGCAGAGAAGACACATAATCAGGAGAAAATGTAAATGAATTAAGCAGCTAGTTTGGGGACAGAAGATGTAGGAAAATAGCTAGTGAAAATTTGGGCATCAGGGTGAAGGGCCGTGGGGGGAGTCTACGCTGGAGGATGATAATAAGCACGCATGGAGTACGCGGTCTGCAAAAGTGTGAGGACAAAAAGGACAAATGCACCGACGACTGATAACACTATCCATGGATTACCAGCACAATTATGTTTCACTGTTCCCAATTGTTTTCGCCAAGGTTTGCGGAAACGCTTCATATCATTCCATAGCTCATCGTAATCGAAATGTTGTGGAAGAGCATTCTTGCATATACCATTGAAGATTTGCAACACGGATTCACTCGAACCCAAATGGTTACATATGACTCCTGCTTTTTCAAGCAATTTAACGTCCTCCACCGAGTCCATGAGGATATCCATAAGGAATGCGTGGGACGTGAAACAACTGATCCCCATCCAATGATAACATTGCTCGAATGCGATGAGGTTTCTCAAGACTGATTCAGTGAAATCATAGATGGAGAAACGTGGGATTTCTAAACCCCCTCTCCAGAAATAAACATAATTACGATCATGAGTGCTAAATTTCACATCGAAAAGCTTACTTGTACAACTACGTTTCCGCAGCTTGATTCCTTCATTGTGGAGTTGTGTTGCAGTACCTTCATATCCCGCAGGTTGCTGATCTTGCCCACATGCAGCACTGACTCCTCGTCGTTGTCGTCGTTGAGTTGCTGTTGTACCTAGTTCAGGCACGCGAGATGCACCTTCGTTGTTAGGAACACGGGGTTGGTAGAAATAGTGTAAGAGATGGAGTATATGATAAGGAGACAACCAGCGATACATTCTGCTTATGTCACGGCTAGTATCTTCTAAGCCCATTATATCACCAAAGAATGAAAGGAGACATCCAATAAGGGTAGGGGTAGGGTTACCATATGGGAATTCGATGCGTTCCACAGTCAGACTGAACAAATTTTCAAGAACAAAGAAGGGAATCTGGTTCTCAAGTAGTAGCAAGTCACGTCGGACGGCAGAGTACATGAAAGGATTATTCAAGATGGGGTCCTGTTCATTTGTGTGATACCTGTATACGAGTTCGATAATGAAACAACCATCAATCAGCATCATTTCTACAAGACTAGTGCTACTGGTGACACCTCCAATTCCCTGCAGCTGCTTAGCTGCTGCTTGATCTGGATAGCATTTCTTGAACCTTTCTTTCATCTGTAACATAGCTACCAGACATTCTTTTCGTGTTTCCTCAGGATTCTTTATTCGTTGAAATAGGAAACGCATGTAGCTCAATTTGTCCGCCTCCATTGCTTGAAGATGTTCCTTTCTACTGTGAAGAGGCCCAATACATACAACGCTAGGGGTGTAAGCTTGTACATTTACTTGACGAAGTATATTTGGTACACTTGTTATGATGGGTAACCGCGGCCAGGCAGAATTGCTGAAATAGCCCAAGGTCTCAAAATTTGCAGTGTTGTCTTCGATCTTAACCTCTAGAGACGCCATAAGCTTAGCAAACGTCATTGATCCGCAGCTTTCTTCCCTGATCTTCATAAGCATATAACTCAAATTAATTATTGACTCTCCTTTTGTGTTTGTGTAGATGTCAGGACTTTTTGTTTTGAGCAAGCCAATTCAGATTCCATATGTATATATATATATATATATATATATATATATATAGGCTCTTATCTACATTTATAATATTTGGGAAAATTACTTTCAGTAGGACTTCCAGGTTTTTTAACTTGCTTTTCTTTTTGTCTTCATTCGATCGACAAGAAAGAAAGGAATGGCAAGATGACAAGTGATGATAATGTAATTCAAACAATGAGGAAGAATTTATAAATTAATCAGGATATATAATGTCACTCCAATCATCTTTAGCATGCATATATTTATATATACACCAAACAGTGATATAAGAAATGGAAAAACTACCATGTGAATGTTTTTACAAAAGCTTGTATTCGGAACTCTTAGACGCGGTGTGAGCATGTTCATAATAGAGTTACTGTTCTGTATATAAGTACTGGCATAATTAGATTATTAAATGTGTTTATCAACAAATTATCTATATATAAATATTGAGAATCTAGCTAGCTAATAAATTGTCACTATAAAGAATTTGTACGAAAACAAAGCTTATCATTTTCGCGCCTCTTGAGACTGCTGTTGAGATCATATGCCTTACAAGCTAATTATTTATTATTAATTCGATATTTTATTAATAAATGTGATATTCACGTTGGGCTTTACATATATTTGTATGAGATGTATTATAGTTCTCAAGTTGTATTATAAGTAACTTAAGTGTGTAAATGAGATTTACACGCAAGAGATTTGGGCTTATTGATTTTTTGCACATTGGCATTGTTCGCAGACAGTGATAAAAATTGGACACATTTATCTATAAGACTGTAACACATGCACTTGACCTTTATAAGATAGGATAGTTTGGATCACCGTAAGATCACACCATACAAATTACTGTTATTATTTTGGTGTTAATCTTATGTACTAGATACATCTAAATCCTAGTAGGTTTAATGGACTCAAGTTTCAGTATTAGTCATTTTAACTTACCAACGTGTGAGATATTTTAAGGTCAATACCTTGGTATCTTAGGTGGCTAATGTTGGAATTCTGAGAACACAAATACTCAACATGGAATCCATACTCTATAAGAGTTAGAATATCTCTTTGATGTAATTTAATAAGTTTGATCACCTGGCCAGGGCATTTTAGTAAAATGTTTACTAAATTATTATTTTTTTATTTATTGAGAAAAATATTTATTTTGAAATTTTTTTTATAAAAGAAATTAAGTAATCATAAGGATTAAATTAGTTACTCAAGGAATATAAGAAGTAAGCATGCCTTAGGTGGGATAATATTTATTTTTCTTAGGGCTACTTATGGATATTCAGTAATGGAGGGACTTATATGTAGTTTATTAATTAGAATAAATCCTAGAATACAATTACAATATTATTGTGGTGCTTATTGTAATTAATTAGATAAGATAGAGTTATGAGATCTATCTAATTGGAGTTAGGATAAGAATTCATTTTGATCCTCATCTCTAACCCCATTTATATACACAGTATATCTTAGGTTGATTATTCGGTTATTCACGCATAAACTTGCAGAATATAGAATAATCGAGAGGGAGAGTTATAGGGTTAGAGGTGAAATTTTACTGGTGTTCAAGGCCAAAGGAGGAGCAATTCAATTCACTGTTATTCTCGGAGTGTTGACGATTAATTAATTGTTAAAAAAGCATATGATCCTTTTCAATAGTTCTTGATTTGGTAAAATATCACGTGATTAAGATCCAAAAAATTTATAATTGTTTCCATTTTTCTTTCAACTACAACCATACAACAAAAACAGTTTAATTATACCATGTATACTTGTATCATTGATCGATTTTAGCACCCCCACGGCCCCAACGCCCCACTACTGTGCTCATTATCAAAAGATCTGAAGCATATATATATGAAGAAAAATAACGAGTTTACGTAGTATCCTTGTTGAACATATAACAAGTTCATATACCTTGGTGACATTCAAGGATCACTTGAATCAAATCGTAAAAAAGATCAAGGTCGACCTCCACCGGACAATGCTGATCTTTTAGCAAACCAGACAATTCTGTTAAGTTTGTGTATGGTATTCAGCGGAAGATATTAGAGAATATCTAACATTTGATATAATATATATATATATATATATATATATATATATATATAAAGTAAACTATTGTGAGGCTCAAATATTCCACATCGTCAAACTTGTAAGCTCCTTGAAAGAAAGAGGGGGAAAAAAAAAAAAAAAAAAATTTGTAAGCTTGATCTTTAACTATTGCCTAAGAGGAAGACATTAGAGAACATCTAGCGTTTGATATAATATATACATATATATAATTTTATACAAAGTAACTATTGTGAGGCTCGAATATTCCACATCCTTAAACTTGTAAGCTCCTTGAAAGAAAGAGGGGGAAAAAAAAAATTGTAAGCTCGATCTTTAATTATTGCCTAAAAAGACGAGTCCTTAAAAAATTTAAGCTGGCTATTAATGTTAATTGCACTTGCAATTAGAGGAAATGGGTTGACTTTGTGAAGGTATTTGTTGAATCAGTGAAGGATCTACATACTAAAATAAAAAAAAAATTAAGTGTGATAAATAATATTGAAAAATAGCTATATATATTATTTCATACTCACATTCTAATAGGTATATACATAATCACATAAATAAATTTCATTTTATTTTTCTAGTTGGGACTCGGACTCACACACTGTTTTCATTAAGGTTTGAACATTGACCTTTCTTTGAGAAATAAGAATCTTACTTCGCTAGATTACATGATTGTTGATAAATTTGCAATAAATTGAAGAGGATGAATAAAGAAAAGGATGACAGAAGTACGACAACAGAAATGAATGCAAAGAAATTTAACACCAGATAAAGACGCTAACAGTGGTGAGTTTTGTGCCAAAAATTCAAGGATGCGAGGAAATAAGAGAGATTGCCAATTGGCTTACCTGATACTCAGAACGGTGACGGCTGATGATGATGACAGCGACGGGAGAGGGACTATGTAAGCTGTTCACTTCCTCTTGCTGTAATCGAATGCCCAAAAATGGCTTCACTGTGCTGATATACACACATATTTATATAGAATCCATAGAGAATCTCAGGGGTGACAATTAGTCAAGCTAATAGTAATCTATTGAACCCAACACTAAGTTGATCTAATTATTAAACAGATTAAACATTTTAACTTATTTAATGACGTTCAAAATCGAACATTATATTATTTAGATTATTTATAATACTCATTCAAATAATAAATATTATAAAAAATATACATTAATTAAAGAATTAATGTATACTTTTGTTAGGGATTATATTGAAATGACTTAATTATTCATAGTAATTGGATCACAACAGGTAATGAGCTATACAAGTGATATTATTACGATTATGAATTTCTTAGTTAAACGGATCTAAACATATTACAGATGTTGAACACCTCAATCTTAATACGATATTATTAATTAAACGGGATTAATCGTGTCGATATTTTTATGACCTAAACTCATTTAAAGTAAATTCAAATCCATTTATCTTATATCGTGTTCGAATCGTGTTGTCAAGTTGTGTCAAATTTTGCCAACCCTAATAAAAATACACAGTATACATTGTTTTTGTTTTTGGATTTTTTTGATCTATTTGACTTTGGTCAATGTGGGCATAAATGACAAAATGTTTTTTCATACAACAAATATAATTTTTAGAACTTTTATTTGTTGTATGAACACATATATATTATGGAGTAATCTAATTGGTAGAGGTGATATGCCTCTCTTTTAAAAAGTATTCTTATAAAGTTTGAAATTATTATTTTCCCAATAAAGAATCAAATATTTTATATTAAAAAAATAATAAAAGTTCAAGTCAGTATAAAATTCAAAACTAAAGTAATATAGAGAAGGTTCTGTTATAGTCTAGCAGTACTCTTTTTTATTTTGAATAAATTACACTAACATCTTTTCAAGTTTAGACAAATTATCAATAAGTTAATTGTCTGGCAATATTAGACTCCTATATTTTAAAAAGAGGTTAGAGATTCGCAATTTTTCTTTACAAATCAAAAATTGAAGCAAAATTACTATTAAACAATGACTTTCAATTTTAGAATGAACCGCAACCTTATAAAACTTTTTCCCTTACTTCCATTTTAACTCATTAGATTCAGTAGTAGTAGGTTCATTCACATAATATCTTATGAGAGAAAAAAAAATGAGCTTCGATGGAGACATGTGTGTAAGTACCATTTAAAAACAAAAAAAAAAAAAAAAAAAAATATGTTTGGACAAATTAACACACATATATCGTTCATTATTTATTAATAATGACTAATTACACTCCTATCACTTTTCTACTCCTTCTGTCCCATTTTAAATGTCGATTTAAGAAAATGTGACTCATAATATATTATTATAAGAATATTTAAACTTTTTATCACTTTTTTAACAATCGACAAATGAATTTAACAAAAAAATTAAAGTAATAAATAATGAAAAGTCTTTCTTATATATATAATTTTGTCCAAATTTCAAAAAAATTTAGTTAGTATAATTTGTTACTTGTAATTTTAGAGAGGGCACAAATGGAGTTGTTGAATCAGCCTGAAAACTCAAAGGTGATTGGTAATGAGATTAGGGCCAGGTCTGACTTGGAAGCTGCTTTAGCAAATGAAGAGATATTGATTGCCCAGAAATCCAGAGTGAGGTGGATTAAAGACAATGACAACTGTACTGAATTTTTTCACAGGAAAATGGCTCAACATAAGACAACAAATGCGATTACTATGCTACAAGACTCCAATGGTACGATGGTGCAAGATGTAGAGACAATCAAATCTATGATGGTGGACTACTACAAGGATCTCTTTACTGATGGACCGAGGTTGAGTGGGGAGATTCAAATAGAGCAACCGAGAAGCAAATTAACTATGGCAGAAGCTGTGAGTTTAGAGCAAGCATGTACTGCACAGGAGGTTAAAGATGCTATTGAGGCAATGGGGCCTGATAAGTCTCCTGGTCCTAATGGTTTCCCTCCAAGATTCTATCAACAATACTAACACATTATTGGTACAGACCTTCTATATGCTGTGCAATTCTTTTTTGATAATGTCAAGCTTTCCAAATCAATTAATAGTTCATTTATTACTCTCATACCTAAGAAGAGTGACTGTGCTAGAGTAGCAGATTTCAGGCCTATTGCATTATGCAATGTGGTATATAAAGTAATTACAAAGATCATAGCTTCTAGACTTAGTTTGGTGTTGGACAAATTAGTGGGCTGTGAGTAGTCAGCTTTTATTAAGGGTAGGAGGATTCAAGACAATATCATCATGGCACATGAATTATTGACTGGATTTTCTAGGAAGACATGCAACCTTTTAAAGAAGGCATATGATTCAGTGAAATGGGACTTCCTTAAGGAGCTTTTACTATCCTATGGCTTTGGCATGAAATAGATAGATTGGGTAATGGAATGTCTCTCATCTGCATGGTTTTCCATTCTTATTAATGGATCTCCTTGTGGTTTTTTCCAACCTACCAAAGGGCTGAGACAGGGCTGCCCACTTTCCCTTTTGTTGTTCACCCTTGTTACTGAATCGTTTTTTGCACAAATGGATCAATTGGTGAGAGAAGAGAAGGTTGCTATTCCCAGAATGATTTTTAAGGCAGGTATGCAACTATCTCACATGTTTTACGCAGATGATCTGCTGGTTGTGCTTCAAGCAGATATATCCACTGCTAAGAACCTGACTGCTGCTTTGGGGAAATTCTCTACATTATCAGGCCTAACAGTGAGTCCTGAAAAGAGCACCATCTTTTTTTCCAAATTAGTTAGGAGGAGGAGAAGATTGATGAGGATTTTTCACTGCCAAATGGGGAGATTTCCTATTACTTACTTGGACCTGCCTTTGCTGCCTTATGGATTGAGAAGAGTTCACTGTAGTCTTTTGATTGACAAATTTACCAACAAAATCAATGTGTGGAATGGAAAGTGTCTCTCTATGGTTGGTAGATTAGAACTGGTGAAATTAGTTTTAACATCTTATGTGTACTTTTGGTGTTCTATTTACACATTGCCAAGAGCTGTTGTTAAATATTTAGAGAAGAAGATGAGGGACTTTATATGGGGCTCTACTACTGAACACAAGAAAGTGCATGCTTTTAGTTGGAATAAGGTGAAGGAAGCTGGGTTTGGGGTGAGGAAAATTACAGACATTAATTCTACCTCAATGTGCCGACTGGTTTGGACCTTCCTTTAATCCAAAGACTGCCTCTGGGTTGCTTGGTTTAGATGGAAGTATACTCGAATTGTATCATACTGGAATTATCAATCTAGGAAAACAGATCATATGCTATGGAAGAAGATTCTAGAGGTTAGGGAATTCATGTTGCAAAATATCAATTTTCAGATTGGAGATGGACAGTCTACTTTTTTGTTTACTGATCCATGGGTTCAAGGGGAAAGTTTGGTGACTAAATATGGATATAGAGTCCATAGAGACTTTAATCTGGCCAAGCAAGCAAAATTATCTTCCATTATTCAGAATGGTCAGTGGCAATTCCCACATCAGAATTCCAATACTTTACACCAGTTCAAGAACTTGGCTCTTTCTCTGACATTGAAGCAAGGTGATGAAAGGTTTTAGTGGAGACATAGTGTCTTCTCTTTTGGAAATGTTTGGAATAGGTGGAGAAATCCACACCCAGAGGTGCAGTGGTTTTCAGTTTGTTGGAGTGGAGCGAGACCTAGAGCTTCTCTGGTTTGTTGTCTGGCAATGCAGAATAAGCTTTTAACCTTTGAAAATCTAAAGAAAAGGGGGTTGCCTTTACTGTCTATCTGTCATAACTGCATGAACTCAGCCGATGATGTAGATCATCTTACTGTCAATTGTCCATTTGCTAAAGCAATTTGGCAATGGTTGTCTGATGTTCTTGGGTGGAATATGCCTCGAGTCATTTCGTTAACTCAATTAGTGGATTGGTTTGTCACCAAAGGAATTAAACATAAGGCCCAAAAACGTATTTGTGCAACTACTGTTTGGTATGTATGGAATGAGAGGAATTTGCGATTGCATCAGGAGATTCGAAGAACTGTTATGGAAATTGCTAGAGCTATTTGTGGAGAGGTCCTAATGTTGTCTGGGATGGAGATGGGAGAGTTGTGCTCTCAGTCTCTAGCTAATTGACACTTGTTGTGTTTATCCTCTAGTTGTCAGTAGATAACTTGTTTTCAAGGGATACCTTGTTGATGATTTGTAATTTTGTTTATATCTATAGAAATTTTTCATTTTATCCAGAAAAAAAAAAAAAAAAAAATTAAGGTTGCAATCACTTTTTTTAAAATATTATCCGCTCAAATCATTAAACTCCTATAAAAGGTTAGCACTCTCTGACGCTCACGAATAACAAAACAAATTACAAAAAAAATGGAAGAATGCTTGAGCACGCATCTCATTATTCGTCAACTATACAAGTATGGCTATAAAACAACTAAAAATTATTTAAATATAATATAAAATGAATATATCATTGACTTGACTCAAATCTTATTCTTTTGAGGCAAAAGTCTCCAATAATTAGTTGTACGAGAATAACAATAATAAATAAATGAAATAAAATAAATCAGAAATCACGTGTGAATGCGAATCTAAGTCAACTTTGACCCGCAATTTGGGACCCAAATCACGAGTGAATTCGAATCTCAATTATATTTCCTTTAAAAGATTAATGGTGAAGTGATTTTTGCTTAAAACTGTACATAATTTATCATGCAATTGCAATTATCAAAATTTTTTTTGTGAAAGTGAAATCGAAGAGATTCATAATCGAATTAAGAATTTTTATCATTAGACTATCTTTTTGGATTTTTAAAACAACTTTGTTTTAGTCAACATTTTTCTTTTTTTTTTTTTTTTTACTAGCGTTACATCTACTAGCCTAATCCTCACATATTTTGCACACATTTTCTCACATGACATAAATATTGTCTGATTTGCATTTTATAAAAGTCAGTCAACATAAAATATAAATGGCATCTCCCTCATAAGTGCGAGCAACCCTTTTTTCTTGAGTGGAGGAGACAATGTGACACGTTGCATGTAGCATATTGACAGATAATTCAGTAGTAAAATACATGTCTTGTTTAAGGAATTCAACTTGATAGTGAAATTTTAAAAAATTTTATTTATTTATTATATTGATATGAGTGAAATTTCAAATGTGCTCTTGTTAAAAGACAAAATAATATTCCTTAATTAATGTATTTGTTTAGTTCAAATGATAATTTGAGAATGTTATGGTAAGATAGTACATCTAATTTTAGAATAAGATATATTTTTTTTTAGAACATTTCGAAATAAAAAGATAAATAAGTATTTTAAAATAAAAAGAGTAATTTATTGTCATGCAACAAAATTTGTCACGTTTCACCGGTAACTAAAACTTGGTCATAGCTCCAATGTTCAATATTGTCCCAACTCCCAACAATAAAAAATTTCGTCATTGTGCAAACCTCATCGTGTCCCAGTCACAACCGGATCTCTCAAGAATTTCTAAATTGTAATGTTTAATAAGAGTGTGTGTGAATATATATATATATAAGTCTTGGTAATAGAAAATTATAATACTCACATGCAACAAGCTAGTTTTTTTAGCTTGCAATTCAGTGGCCCGATAAATATGATATTGTCAAATTGTTATGAACTTATGATACAACCAGATCTGTCACTTCCCTAACCGACATAATAAATAACCTCTTTCTTAATTGCAATGTTCAATAAAAATAGAAGACTTATCCCCTTTTTTTTTTTATTATTATTATTTTTCCTCTAAGCAAAAAACAAAAAAATAGAAGTCTTAGTTGACACTATAGAACTAAGTCAAGCAATGAGATGTTGACTTGGAATATAATATATAGAAAATGCAACAGGCAATAAGAATTAATAAATAATTTTTGATAAACTTCAATAAAAATTTTTAAAAAAATAAAAGAATTAATAAATTGCAAAAATGTCAACCAAATTGAAGTCTTAGTTGGCACCACCTAATTAGTTAATTCGTCTATCATACACGAATTAAACGCGTGAAAAAATACTTTCGTTTGTCAATTATAATTTAAATATACGATAAAATAGACGTTTTTTTTTCTATCACTCCATACCTAACGTGTTTATTATTATTATTATTTTTTTTGATAAGTCAGTATCTTCTAATCCCATTATATCACCAAAGAATGAAAGCAGACATCCAATAAGGGTATGATTACCCTTCAAGGATTCTAACATAGGTTTCACTGTGAGGCTGAACAATTCTTCAAGAACAAAGAAGGGAATCTGGTTCTCGAGTAGTTGCAAGTCACGTCTGACGGCAGAGTACATGAAAGGATTATTCAAGATGGGGTCTTGTTCATTTCTGTGAAACCTGTATACAAGTTCGATAACGAAGCAACCATCAATAAGCATCATTTCTACAAGATTAGTGCTACTGGTGACATCTTCAACCTGCAGCTGCTTAGCTGCTAGATCTGGATAGCATTTCTTGATCCTTTTTTCCATCCTTAACATTGCTTCCACACAATCATTTCTTGTTTGCTTTGCAATAACTAAATCTTTTCCTGTTCGTTCAAATAGATCTAACGCATGGAGCTCAATTTGTCTGCCTCCATTGCTTGAAGATGTTCCTTTCTACTGTGAAGAGGACCAATACATATGACACTAGGGGTGTAAGCTTGTACATTTACTTCACGAAGTATAGAGGGTATACTTATTATGATGGGTGACCGTGGCCAGGCAGAATTGCTAAAATAACGCAGGGCCTCAAAATTTGCTGTTCTCTTCGATCTTAGCCTCTAGAGACTCCATGAGCCACAACTTTATCCCCTGATCTCAATCAGAATATATCTATAATTAATTTACACTTGCTTTCCTTTTTTTCTTCATTTGATCGACATGAAAGAAAGGCCAGGCAAGATGACAAGTACAAGTACGTGATGATAGACTAATTGAAACATGCATTATATTAACCTTTTTAAAAATAAATTCTCATTTTATTGTGAGGAAAGAGCCAAACACTTTGATTTAACACTTCAATTGTGTTAGCCGACTACATTTTTATTTATAAAAATAAAAATAAAAATGGTGTTAATGAAAGAAGAAGAAAAACTCAAATTTGAAGGGGTTCCACACGTATAAAAGTCCATTTTCTCGCAACATAATAAAAAATAATAACATTATGGATTACATTGTTATATAATGTATGATATATTTCATTGTACAAACTTGGTTTATATATATATATATATATATATATATATATATATATTATTGACAAGAAACTTACACACTCATCTGTCCATATGGAAATTTAAACCCTCATATTTCACTTTGGAAGTACAAGGAAATAATACTGCCATTGGTTTCTAAGATACGAAATTAAGAAAGATAAGCAATTAAACTCGTACTCAATATACAGCTCATATAAAGTAGCATAATGCAATTTTCACAGATTTACCGTTCTGAAAATTAAAGGGAAAACTACACTTCTCTTTCATGATAATATCATTTGAAAAGAAACATTCAGGCAATAAATTGAGGAGGCAATCTGTAAAATTATGAGAGTGAATAAAGCAAATGATGACACAAGAGTATTACTACAGAAACGAGTGCAAAGAAATTTAACACCACACAAACTGAAACTGAGATAGAGACGCTTTGAGGCCCCAACGCTGGTGACGGCAGATGATGATGATGGCAGCGACGGAGAAGGACAATGTAAGCTGCTCACTTCCTCGTGCGGTCGTGCTCTAATCGAATACCCAAAAATGGTTTTTATAAGACAGTGATCATCTATGGTTTAAAGATCTCAATGTATCACTTGGTGTATACAAGAATATATAGAGGAGAGAATTTAGAAAATTAAAACTCTAGCTTTCAAGCATTAACGCAACCTTTCATCTGACGACGATTACTACGAAAATGACTTGGGGAATACCCAAGAAACATTTGACTTTTCATAAGACCTTATTTTACATATGAAAATTGTTTGTTTGTAGGGTCTCTCAAGGTTTATCTCTTATAGCCAAGAAACATTTTTCTTGTTTTCATATGTATTATTGCCTTTTCAATTACCAAATAATGTCTCAATGTCCTTTTCAGGTTTGACATTAGGTACCTAGTAGTTCAATATTGTTTGATATTATTGTCTCTTTTGAACTTGAAATTGATAATCTGGTTTGTTCTATACAGTAAGGCATATTCTGTTGATTTTTACCATATTGCTTGTCCTTTGTGTATCATTTTAAATGGCACATTGTCTTTTAAATATTGACATTAAAATAAAGTTAGCAGACATTAATCTTTGGCTCCACAGTTGATAGAAGAGACAAATGCAGGACCAAAGGATAAGAAATGAGGTTTATTATTAATGTTATTGTCCTGTATTCTCAAGTGTGTTTCATCTCTGAGTTCTGTTTTTTTTTTTCTCAGAAAATTATTCTTATGGTGGGTAAAATAGTGTTGTATATTTAAGTCCCACACATAGCATCAAACACTAGGTGTGTTTGGTACATTTAGTCATTTAATCATATATTATTATTTATGAATCAATGTTCTCTGCACAATGAATTGATTCAATTATAGGAGAGGTTCTAAGTTACTAATGTATTTTTCTTAAACAGCTCCACTCTTATCCTTAGCAAATAAGATTTAGATATGTTTGTTTATCTATTTGATAGACCTATTAGACCCCATATGGTTAAGATGGAATATGTCACTTGCAGCATTGCTCCAAGCAAAGCTCTTCAAATTCGCATCCGATCTTCAGTCTTGAAATTCTAAACCAAAATTTTACAACTCGATCGGACTTGTTTCGACAACGAAATTAACCAATTATAAAATATATATTTTTCACAATCCCCAAAATATATATATATATATATATCTCACACATTTTGTCATATATATATATATATATATATTATCAATCTATGTTCTCTGCACAATGAATTGATTCAATTGCAGGAGAGGTTCTAAGTTGCTGATGTATCTGTCTAACTCCACTCTTATACTTAGCGAATAAGATATAGATATGCTTGTTTTATTTGTTTGATAGACCTATTAGACCCCATATGGTCAAGATGGAATATGTCATTGCTCCAAGCAAAGCTCTTCAGGTAGTCAACAATAATTCA